TTTAGAGAATTGCTGAAAGTCAAGGAGTACTAGACAGCTGCTTTTTCCCTAGTTTGGGACTGTTCTGCAGTACTCACTTATTACTCCATCAAGGATCAAACTCAGAATTCTCAGTTTACAATGTGGACATATTAGCACTTAGCCAACTGGCGAAAATCCAATCACCAGTGTTTTCTAACCTTTGACAATTTGCGATATAATACTATTGTAGCGGTAAATAATTCCCCAAAATTATTGACCTCAGCAATCATCACTGAACATGGGATGCTGACCCTCACTGTTAAAGTCGACTTCTTTAGCTGAAAGCTTCCGGTCAAGCATCCATGCCATGTCATGTCACGTTGGTGCACCATCACAAGTCAGTTAAGCAATCATCTTGCAATCCATTTTGGTCCCGAAATATATCTCGTCATTTGGACGACCAGTTCTGTTGTTTTGCTTTGCCTTTGGTACACGAGAAACGAATACTGTAGAAGTTGTCGGTATAAGATCTTGCGTTAGTATACCCCGTACAATTCGCGAACGTCAATATCGTCAGCCTCGAAGCTATCATCATCCAATATCACAAGGAAGTATCCATGCAATCACTTTTGTTAGTCTGAATTTGAATTAAGAACTGGAATATATTGAGAAAGAGTAAAATGATTCCCTTGAAGACAGAATTTAAGATTTCGTTTGACTTAATCAGCTCTAACTTTAGTAACACTATAACATAATGATACTACTCATTCTTGATGTAGTTGTGTGTTCTGTAAGCTGGATGGTTTGTTTGAGAAGCTGTCATCGCCCTACTAGGCAGCATCTTCAGCGCATACTTCAATACTACTCATTCACTTGTAGATAGTTTGTAAAAGATAGGTAAAATTTGCAACATCTTTTAAGATTCTTTTCTCAAATCCCCGTTTGTTTTAAACCACCTCTATTTAACCATTCAGTGTATTTTATCTCTAACCTTCACATGGGTTGTTTGATCCATATGTTATAATAATGAAGTGTTAATTCTCTTTTTCTAGCCACACTGGTGAGCTGAGCACGAAAAATCAATTTCATAGGATAAAGAAGGATTTGAATTGATAGACAAAGGAAGAGGACGTTAGCCTAGTCACTTCATTTTTTGTCAAAATCAATGTAGCAACATAGTGTGTAGAAAGTATGAGTGGTAGTTGATTGGTGTTAAAATAAACTAATTTTATGAATATTATTTCTTCTGCAAGCTGAGAAGCCTTACAAGCAAGATAAGCATTCATCGCCCTGAAATCCGCTATGGAGACAGACCTACAGCTTACAACATAAGAAATGAGACCTGAATTTTTAACACGAATATCAATTTTATTACTTTTATGTGGTATAGAGACTTGGCGCGTCACCGAAAACATCTCCAACAGGATATAGACGTACATTAACAAATAACTTGGCCCACTATTGAAGATAAGATGGCTGTTGAGAAAGGATATGCAACAAGGAATTCTGACGGGCATGGTACGCAACAAACAAGCCAAAAATCTATTTCCCAACATATATGCAGAAGGGAATGGGATGTACTTAGTCTGAATAGATCGTTGAGTGACGTTAAGTGCCAGACATACCCTCGAGTGGAGTCCGAATGCAAAACGACTAGTTCGGCATTCGATGGTGACATGGAGACTATCATATGAAGAGGAAACGAAAACTCGTAGGTAGTTTTGGAGTCAGTTGAAAGTGAATAGAGAGGCGTAAGCGCAACGAAAGTGTGCTGCTGAAGTTCTGTGTCCCACACAGAATAAGTATTAGTAATAATGAAGATGAAAATAGTAAATTTTCTTTGGCAGTTAAACTGACAGTGACATTCGAGTAACATCACACACAGGCTTCTGAGTGAAGGTGAATGTAAAATAACTGGTTGAGTGTCCGACAGTCACACAGAGAATATATCCTTTCAGGAGGGAATTAAAGCTTGTAGGCGGTCGTGGTGCTAGATGAGATTGACAGTACAGAACTATATGCAATGATGATTTCCTGCTGAAGCCCTATGCTCCATTCGAGACGCCAGGAATGAATGATAATAATGATAATAAATGTTACTGGAAATTCTTTTCCCTTTAGATGGGATGGAGAAGATTTGTAGCTCAGGTGGATGATTTTGACGTCGCACACAAACCAACAAAATCACTTCACTCAGTTCTATGTCAACCACAAGATTCAACAGAGAAAGAAGATAAAACCAAAAATCATCAACAAACAACTGCGAAAAACACTACATTGGCCAAAGTGCACGTCCCCTTCGTCTTCGTATCCGTGAACACAAGCTAGCTGTCAAAAGACATGACATCCACTCCCTCATATCACTACTACATACAGACAACCACGGACATCAATTCGACTGGGATAACGTTCAAATATTAGACAGAGGAAACAACAAGAATGCTAGAGAATTTTTAGAAGCCCGGTATTCCAGTGAATAGGCAATTAACAGGCACACTGACATAGACAAAATTTACCAATCAATAAGAAGGAAGTCTCACACACAAAGAGTCAAAGTTCAACTCATGGGAACAATCAGCTTCAATGCATTTAGCTTAGAGGGTGTGAAAACATACAGAAACGACCTATCACATCCAAGGTCACCAGGAGTGATGACTAATGAACTCGTGGAGAAATCTAAAAGCTCACTTCAAATCGAAGTATGCGCTGAAGATGTTGCCTAGTAGTACAATAAAAGCTTCGCAAATTAACTATCCAGCTCAGAGAACGCAACCACATCAAAATCTTTTCCCTCTGTTCTTCACCTGCTTACTCTAGACTGATTTCATTTTCTGAAGCTTTTTATGGTCATTGTAAACACTATATTGGTTTTATGACTTTTGAAGTCCTTAATATCATCAAAATCTCCATACATTACTAAGAGTTTATTCTAATAACGAGATTGTTACGCTTTAATTGGAACAGTTTCCTTTTTTCGCACTATTTTTATGCTTTTTACACCTTGACTGCTGTTAACAATCCTGTAATATTATCTTTATGATTGTTCTTCATGTTATCCGATAAAACTAGATGCAATACTGTACCAAATACTGAAAATTCCACACTGTATCACTAGTACTGTTTTAGAATAAAGCTTATCATTAGTACTGTAGATGTCTACCAAAGAAATCTTTTAAGCATTCTAGACTAAAACTGCCTAGTTTTGTATACATTATGCTCAGTAGGTAATTCATTACGTAACACTTGGCCATTTTGTATTAGGTAAAACAAACATATGCACTGAAATTGAATCATGGTCTATTACGATGCCTGACTTCTACCCATTTTACTGATTTTTATTTGTAACGTATCCAAAGAAGCATTTTAAGTGACCTTATTGATATAAACGAAATTCAGTTGCACTTGCGTTTACCAAATATTCCTCAAAGAAAAACCTCTTCCCTTAAATATGCATTCCCATTTGTTGAAGTTACTTTGAATTCCCCATTGACTGATTACATTAAACCAAAATGCTGTTTTTTCTGCTGATATGTTGGCTCCTAGGACGGATGCCTTTGAAAGTGTCTGACGATTAGCTTGGTGGTTTTGGGTTGATGGTGACTAGCAATGAAATTTCTAATGACCACAGTTCATTCCCACTTTATGTACCTGCATCCCTGTCATTATGAGTGTTCAAACTACGACTCAGCCTCACGAAGTAACAACTGATAACATTTGGAAAAGAGGGGGCTCTCCTGATCTATTGTGTAACTTTTTGGCATTTGAGAAGATGGATACTGATTCTGAGTCTCAGTGGGATAATTGTCATTAACATGGAATGAAGGTACATCAACCCTGAGGAGTCATAAATGGGACGAAACGCTTGTCCTTAACTCCACTACTATCCACCATCAAACAAACAAAACATACTCATCGCTTTAACATGAAGTAATAAACACTACTTGGAATAATCATCAGAAGTATGCTAATTTGTTTTCATTATCATTTCCCTCAGTTATTCTATTACTGTTTTCCCAATATACTGTTGTATTACTTATGTGTTGCTGCATTGGTGACATAGAGGCAGAATGCTCGCCAAGCACACAGGTGGTTCGGGGTTGAATCCCCGGTCGACGCACTCCTTTACCTCCTTTATCTCCCTAAGCCAGTAATAACACTCGTAAAGAGGGAAGGTTGGGCATGGAGCTAGCAACCCCATCCCGTAAAAATAAATACCACTGCTACTGAAACTTCAAGTCTCTAGCCTGAAGCCCTATATTCCACTGGGAACGTAAACGAATAACAAAAGTTACTTATGTGTGGCACATCTCTTGAGTGACTATATTTTACCAAGTTTGTGATATAAATAAATGATAAGGTATACATATTCCTAAACATGTAGTCACATTAATGACTAAAAGGTTTTGTAACAACAGAAGACAAGGGACAGGCAACAGATTTTTTATTAAGGAAAATCAACACATATTTATAGATTTTAATGTACATTATTGTTAGTAGAAAATACAGTCTTTTGATTGGTTGTTTCTCACAGCAAGTTAACCTTGCATCTCTTTGTGGCTGTGTCAGATCATCCATATGCTAAGTGTACCCGCCTACGCAAAGCCTTTGTTCTCATTTTCTCACCATCAATATTGGGGAAATAAACATTGACATAAATTACTGTCTACCAACTTTGGCTAGCATCCAGCTCTCATCACACAGTTTTACATCCTTTTCTAATTTATCCTTGTATATTAAAGCATAAAAACTTACTGTCATTTCTCGATTATTTACTATGTAAATGATAGGATCCCACACACTTTGTTATTGTTCAATTATCTTAATGACTGTTAATCTCGCATATGTGTTATATTATCATTTCCCAGGCACTTTGTTATTGTTCAGTTATCTTAATGACTGTTAATCTCGCATAAGTGGTATATCATCATTCCCACGCATTTTGATATTGACTATTACGACCAATTATTTCAAATACTGTTAGCTGTCTCTATTGGTTGTAAAATTGTATAAATACCATTTCCTAAATAAGTTTATTTGTCGTCGTTGTCGTTGTTGTAGTCGTCGTCGTAGTTGTTGTACTACAATACACAGTCACAGTCCAGACTTTGTCTTTTGATATTTGCGTGGTTCGCTGAATCGGAAGGTACCAGAAGCAGATAGGCATATTAATCAGGCGCAGACAGAACAAGGCAACAACGTTCCTCATTTTAATTCCCGCTACAGTTACAACAAATTGGCGACGCGGTTTATCTCAATTCATTACGGTTATAACAATTGGCGACGGGGTTTTACTTTCATTCATTGCAGTTATAACAATTGGCGACGGGGTTTTACTTTAATTCACTGCAGTTATAACAAGCAAGCGACGACGTGTTTTATTCTGTTCAGCGCATCTATAGAACATTTTTGACTGTGTTAATTACAACCCAATTACAATGTCTATCTCTCTGGACGATCTCAAATCCATCTTGCAGCAGCAGCAAGTTCAGAATGAAGCAGCTCAACTGAAATTAATCGAAGCTCTCACTCAGAAGCTGTCCATTCAAGTTCCGTCAACATCTTATTCAGACAAATATGAAAGCATCTCAAATTCCATCAGTGAATTCAACTACGACCCAATATCTGGTCTCGTATTTGATGCATGGTTCAATCGTTATGAAGACGTTTTTCGTATTGAATGCCACATGTTTGATGATGCTGCCAAAGTTCGATTGTTACTACGAAAACTTGGTACTGTTGAGCACAACAGATATGTTAACTTCATTCTGCCTAAGAACCCACGTGAATTATCATTCGATGAGACAGTCACCGTTTTATCACAAATCTTTGGTGAACAGTCATCCATGTTTAATATTCGGTATCAATGTTTTCAGTTGACAAAAATACCTTCCGATGATTATGTTACTTACGCTGGCAAAGTGAACAAAGAATGCGAAAGGTTCAAACCACACGAAATGACATCAGATCAGTTCAAGTGTTTGATTTTTATTTGTGGCTTGAAGAACCCAGAAGATACTGACATAAGAACTCGACTTCTGTCACTCGTGGAACAAGACCCGAAAATGACTTTACAAATGGTGACAGCAGAATGCCAACGCTTAATCAACTTGAAGCACGATACTGCTATGGTGGAGTGCAAACGACAGTCGTCTGAATTTGATTCAGTTAACACAGTGAAAAGTCCTCCGATCACCGTTAAGCACACAGCACGTCAGTCTCAGAATTCAGCTAAACCTCCTTCAGTGTGCTGGCACTGTGGTTCGTGGCATTTTGTCAAGTTCTGTCCTTTCAAGAAACATAAATGCCGTAATTGTCACCGTTTTGGACATAAAGAGGGTTACTGTCCACCACAGAAAAATTCTTCGATGAAGAACAGAAGTAGTCGTTTCAAGCCGAAACAATCTCCTCGAGTACAGACCATTTTCACAACTTCCAAAGTCGATTTCGCCAGCAAACGTAAGTATATTACACTACGCATTAACGGCAAATCTATTCGTCTTCAGTTGGATACGGCATCAGATATCACTTTAATTTCCCGAACTACGTGGCGCAAACTTGGGTGCCCACAGATTCTGCCGACCGAGCATGTCGCTAAGAATGCCTCAGGAGACATACTGAAACTCGTGGGTGAGATAAATTGCCAGGTTTTATTTGGTGAGCAACAGTTCAATGGTGTATGTTATGTCACAAACTACCATGATTTGAATTTGCTTGGTCTTGACTGGTTAGACAAGCTCCATTTCTTCAATGTACCGTTAAATTCAGTATGCTCTAATGTTTCGTCCTCACCAAAGAACGTTGTTCCCGGACATGTATCTGATCAGTCTCTCTTGCAACGCCTGCGTGCTTATGCAAAACCGAAGGGGGAGGGAACAACAGAAGAAATTTTGGATAGATCCTTGCTACGTTATCATCGTACGACGCCAAATCCTTCCACAGCCGAAAGCCCGGGACGCAGATCACAATCTATCCAGTACGCGAAAGTCAACTCGACAAAGAAGAGCTCCAAAACCTTTTCAAATAGGTTCAAAAAGCAAGTCCTACACTTTTAACGGGGGGAGGTGATAGGATCCCACACACTTTGTTATTGTTCAATTATCTTAACGACTGTTAATCTCGTATAAGTTGTATATCATCAATTCTCACACACTTTGTTATTGTCAATTATCTTAATGACTGTTAATCTCGCATATGTGTTATATTATCATTTCCCAGGCACTTTGTTATTGTTCAGTTATCTTAATGACTGTTAATCTCGCATAAGTGGTATATCATCATTCCCACGCATTTTGTTATTGACTATTACGACCAATTATTTCAAATACTGTTAGCTGTCTCTATTGGTTGTAAAATTGTATAAATACCATTTCCTAAATAAGTTTATTTGTCGTCGTTGTCGTTGTTGTAGTCGTCGTCGTAGTTGTTGTACTACAATACACAGTCACAGTCCAGACTTTGTCTTTTGATATTTGCGTGGTTCGCTGAATCGGAAGGTACCAGAAGCAGATAGGCATATTAATCAGGCGCAGACAGAACAAGGCAACAACGTTCCTCATTTTAATTCCCGCTACAGTTACAACAAATTGGCGACGCGGTTTATCTCAATTCATTACGGTTATAACAATTGGCGACGGGGTTTTACTTTCATTCATTGCAGTTATAACAATTGGCGACGGGGTTTTACTTTAATTCACTGCAGTTATAACAAGCAAGCGACGACGTGTTTTATTCTGTTCAGCGCATCTATAGAACATTTTTGACTGTGTTAATTACAACCCAATTACAATGTCTATCTCTCTGGACGATCTCAAATCCATCTTGCAGCAGCAGCAACTTCAGAATGAAGCAGCTCAACTTAAATTAATCGAAGCTCTCACTCAGAAGCTGTCAATTCAAGTTCCATCAACATCTCATTCAGACAAATATGAAAGCATCTCAAATTCCATCAGTGAATTCAACTACGACCCAATATCTGGTCTCGTATTTGATGCATGGTTCAATCGTTATGAAGACGTTTTTCGTATTGAATGCCACATGTTTGATGATGCTGCCAAAGTCCGATTGTTACTACGAAAACTTGGTACTGTTGAGCACAACAGATATGTTAACTTCATTCTGCCTAAGAACCCACGTGAATTATCATTCGATGAGACAGTCACCGTTTTATCACAAATCTTTGGTGAACAGTCATCCATGTTTAATATTCGGTATCAATGTTTTCAGTTGACAAAAATGCCTTCCGATGATTATGTTACTTACGCTGGCAAAGTGAACAAAGAATGCGAAAGGTTCAAACCACATGAAATGACATCAGATCAGTTTAAGTGTTTGATTTTTATTTGTGGGTTGAAGAACCCAGAAGATGCTGATATAAGAACTCGACTTCTGTCACTCGTGGAACAAGACCCGAAAATGACTTTACAAATGGTGACAGCAGAATGCCAACGCTTAATCAACTTGAAGCACGATACTGCTATGGTGGAGTGCAAACGACAGTCGTCTGAATTTGATTCAGTTAACACAGTGAAAAGTCCTCCGATCACCGTTAAGCACACAGCACGTCAGTCTCAGAATTCAGCTAAACCTCCTTCAGTGTGCTGGCACTGTGGTTCGTGGCATTTTGTCAAGTTCTGTCCTTTCAAGAAACATAAATGCCGTAATTGTCACCGTTTTGGACATAAAGAGGGTTACTGTCCACCACAGAAAAATTCTTCGATGAAGAACAGAAGTAGTCGTTTCAAGCCGAAACAATCTCCTCGAGTACAGACCATTTTCACAACTTCCAAAGTCGATTTCGCCAGCAAACGTAAGTATATTACACTACGCATTAACGGCAAATCTATTCGTCTTCAGTTGGATACGGCATCAGACATCACTTTAATTTCCCGAACTACGTGGCGCAAACTTGGGTGCCCACAGATTCTGCCGACCGAGCATGTCGCTAAGAATGCCTCAGGAGACATACTGAAACTCGTGGGTGAGATAAATTGCCGGGTTTTATTTGGTGAGCAACAGTTCAATGGTGTATGTTATGTCACAAACTACCATGATTTGAATTTGCTTGGTCTTGACTGGTTAAACAAGCTCCATTTCTTCAATGTACCGTTAAATTCAGTATGCTCTAATGTTTCGTCCTCACCAAAGAACGTTGTTCCCGGACATGTATCTGATCAGTCTCTCTTGCAACGCCTGCGTGCTTATGCAAAACCGAAGGGGGAGGGAACAACAGAAGAAATTTTGGATAGATCCTTGCTACGTTATCATCGTACGACGCCAAATCCTTCCACAGCCGAAAGCCCGGGACACAGATCACAATCTATCCAGTACGCGAAAGTCAACTCGACAAAGAAGAGCTCCAAAACCTTTTCAAATAGGTTCAAAAAGCAAGTCCTACACTTTTAACGGGGGGAGGTGATAGGATCCCACACACTTTGTTATTGTTCAATTATCTTAACGACTGTTAATCTCGTATAAGTTGTATATCATCAATTCTCACACACTTTGTTATTGTCAATTATCTTAATGACTGTTAATCTCGCATATGTGTTATATTATCATTTCCCAGGCACTTTGTTATTGTTCAGTTATCTTAATGACTGTTAATCTCGCATAAGTGGTATATCATCATTCCCACGCATTTTGATATTGACTATTACGACCAATTATTTCAAATACTGTTAGCTGTCTCTATTGGTTGTAAAATTGTATAAATACCATTTCCTAAATAAGTTTATTTGTCGTCGTTGTCGTTGTTGTAGTCGTCGTCGTAGTTGTTGTACTACAATACACAGTCACAGTCCAGACTTTGTCTTTTGATATTTGCGTGGTTCGCTGAATCGGAAGGTACCAGAAGCAGATAGGCATATTAATCAGGCGCAGACAGAACAAGGCAACAACGTTCCTCATTTTAATTCCCGCTACAGTTACAACAAATTGGCGACGCGGTTTATCTCAATTCATTACGGTTATAACAATTGGCGACGGGGTTTTACTTTCATTCATTGCAGTTATAACAGTAAACAAGAAGATGGGCTGACTGAAAGTATGTATGTGTGAATAGGAAATACACTCATATACTTCTATAACACTCTGTGGCCAACCTACAGAATAGTTACTACAGAGTGCAAACGCACCAATGACCTTGAATCTATATCACTCATTGGATCATAGAACCTGCTGTTATTACAGTGCTGTTATGAACGCTGTGCAGCCACATGCAACTACCGAGGTCCGAACCCAGGACCACCCGATTATAAGGAGAGCTCGTAGAATATTCAAACACTGGGAATTAACCAAGTGGCCCATGAATTCCATTGGTTCTCTAACTGATGTCAACTTGTAACCGACCAAATCCCTGCAAAAGAACACTTGAAAACTTTGACAAATCAAGACAGACCAAATTTGAAGTATACAAAGATATAATCATTTTATTTCACAAATTCTCATTAGCTGCAGATGGTACTACCTGGATAGTATAAAATATGTTATAAATTAGAGAAAAGAAACTTCAGAGAAGTAAAACATTTAACTGTTGAAGAGAAGAAAGTCCCTATTTGCTTTCTATTCAAGGGAAAAAACAGTATCCTAAAGGAACAACAAACGAATAAAAAAACAATAAAAAAATGCTTCCCTGCAGTCAGAGTTGTATTGGTATACAGAAAATAACCAGCTTAATGAACTAATCCAAACACGATAAGTAACCTGCTGATGTCACACTTCCAGCTGTATTTGCAAATTTCCTGGCACTTACGGTAACACGTACACTGGGGAGGAATGTTTCCATACGGTTTTCTGAGCTGACTCCAAGAAATTCAAGTCTAATTGGAAACCAGTATCCACAAAACCCAGTCATAAAGCACCTTGTGGTAATTTCGTCGATATCTCTAATTCTTTTAGAATGCTACATGTAAAAAAGACATTAATTTTACTACGATTTACTGTAGTCTTCAAACAAAATTATGCACTGTGATTGCGATAAATCTCTTACACTCTTGGTGTGGCGTGTACTACTGATAAGATTTATCAGTAGTATATAGAGAGGTGCTCATAAAAATATCGAATAGCAGGGAGAGAGACTTGAAAACAGACCAAACACAATATGAGGGAAGGGAACAAGTAGCACAACACGGAAGATCTGTGCATACGGTGATTTGAAGATAAGTTGTATATAATTTCGGTAATACTGCGATACGAGATTCCAAATAAACATTCCCTTACCAAGTCTCTGGTCTTCTGCTATTATATTGGTAACTGCATTCTGATTTTCATTACGTTAATTGTCTAGCCAGCCATATTAGTCATTTCAACTCATTGCGTTGATTTCAGTTTCACGAACTATGGTTTTTGGTTAGATGGCTGAAGGCAATTGGGAGGAAGCCTTGGACCTGGCCTGCGTGCTTGCTGCCATGTCTGCGGACTTGATTTTACGTATGGCTGATGTAATTTACCCCACATGTGCAAGTAAAATGATAAATATCCATCTATCGCTCGCAACGTCAAGCCCGCAAACGTATTCAAGGACGCTGTCCAGCCTGGATAACCACAGGACAAAAGAAGAATATCAGCAGCTCTACCGTCGAACACCTTGTCAACCTCTGCTCATCGATCACCCCCGCATGAAAGTTTCACAGTGCTACACAGAGTTCCTCAATATCTCAAGAAAGAACTTGAAATACGCCATCTATGCTCAGCTGAACCATTGGATATTCGGGATCCCAAACCTGGCCACAGCGTTCAAAAGCACTGAATAAATTCACTCGTCATGCCAAAACCAGAGTAAAGTTCCTACCATAATTCTGCCTCACTTTATTATGTAAGTTTATTATTATTATTATCCTCAGTATCCTAATTTTAGTATCACTCTATTATTATTTATTGATAAAATTGCATTTTCATGTAGATTTTATAAAGATACTTTATCGTCTTTTCACTATTTAATTCATGAATAATTCCCATTCGGACATTAGTAGACAAAAGACAAGTAGTTCAGCAAAGAGTCTCTTTTCGGCGAATTCATTTTCAAAGCTGTACAATCGCAAATATATATGGTTATTTTGTGTGTGTGTGTATACATTAAATTTGTCAAACAAAATACGGTTAGTAAGTTCAAATGAATTGGATGTTGATAAGAGGATAGCAACAAAAGTGATGAGTTGTCAAAACGATTGTTAAAGAGGAGTAAGTTTAGGTGAATTGGATGTTCATATAAGAGGGTAGTAACAAAAGTGATGAGTTGTCATAAATGATTGTTAAATAAGAGTTACGTAATGGTAAGAATAGTTTGATGAATGAGTTGTACTCAAAGGTTGTGCATGGAAACAAAATAATATATAGAATTACACAAGGGTTTTAAGTTAGAAAAAATAAGCATACAAACAGAAGTAAGGTCAGGTCAAACAAACAAAGAAGAGTTGGGTCAAATCAACGGAGTTGTTACCATGCGAGTAGAAGTGGTTGGATAATTTTCTTTTGTATGCATAGTTCTGGTTCAACCAACTGGATGGCTAGGGCTTCTGCGATACAAAGAAGACGAAATCGTACTGTCTTTGGGAGGTTGTTCTTCACTTTGTAGATCACTTTAAAGGAGGCGTTCGTTGAGATGGAATGACCAGTGTTGACTAGATGTTCGATTATTGCACTCCTTATATGGCCATTATTTCCTTTCTGTAGCCACGCTGGGTAGTGTTCTTTGACCCTTTTTGACAGGATGCGCGTTGAACGACCAATGTACCTGGCTCCACAGCAACAGGTGAACTGATATATACACATAGAAGTGGTCATGTGCGGAATCTTGTCCTTTGGGTTTCTGCAGATCAGCGGGCGACTGGAGAACACTATTCTTAGTGTTGCCGCAGGGAAAGTTCTTCCTAAAGAGGTGGAAATTCTCCTTCTGAGGACGTCACTAAGTAGGTCTCCTTTGAAATCTAGGTTCATATAAAGTATCTTTTTTGGCACGGATGCTGTCTCTTGCTTTTGGTTTTTCTGTTTGATGTTTTTGTCTACAAATCTTGGTGGGTAGCCATTTTGTATGAAGATTTCCCTCAGGAAGTTTAGTTCTTCTTCCATGGTGTCGGAGCTGCAGATGCGTCTGACGCGAGTTGCAAGGGATTTAATTAAGTTTCTTTTCCGACTGATTGGTACCCAGCTGTAGAAACTTGTTAATTGTCCGTTCCAAGTCGGTTTCCTATGGATTGACCTTCTTAAAGTTCCGTCATCTCTCCTTGTAAGCTCTACGTCAAGAAAAGGGATTTTTGATTCGTTTTCAGTTTCCAAAGTGAACTTTGTGGCTGGATGGCATTTGTTGAATATTTGTAGT